GAAATGTTCTGCGTTTATGGTTGACATGTTGTGGAACAGATATAATACAATAAAACCTGCTTTTTCTCAAGAATGTCTTTATTACTGCTGTTAAAAAAAGACCTATCATTTCCGAGAATAAAAAAAAGAACTTTGAGTCATGTTTGAACTGATGCAGCTTGGTCTGTGTTCTACTCACCCAATTTTTTGTAATTTTTATATATATATTTTCAGAAACTAGAGGGTGTTGGCTTTAAAATAATGTATTGCACATGTAATTTGGGCTGACAGTTATATAGAAACTGTAACTTTCTATATAGAAAGTTATTTGCTTTTCCATTTGGGTATGCAAAATAGGCGAGGATTACCCAAAATGAGGTGGATGTTAAGAGGTTAAATCATTACCTAATAGATATTGGTGTGATTTGTTATAAAATCAGCTATTGTTTTTGTGTTTTTACTGTGCCACAACCGAACACATTTCCTCTAAATACCCCCAGCTTTGGTTTGATCGACTGCAGGAATGTCTGTAGTATTGATATTGTTTTGGTTTGTACCAGAGAAATGTTCTTACTTGAAGATCAGGAATATTTAGCTTTTCTTGTGTTTAACTTTTGCGTTTAACTTCTGAACAACTTTTCTAATGTTGGACTCATTGTGACCTCTTACCTCCTTTCTTTTCCTTCATCTCGGATGCTCTAGAGCTGTATATATGCTTGCGTTTTTTGTAGCAGTTATTGCTCTGCGTTCCATTTTGCTGTCAGTAGGAAATGTGTTCATTCATTCCATTCATGCGCAGAAACAAGAATAGTGAGATTAATATTAGATTCAGTCATAAAGAGATTTTGTTACCAGGATTTGGTGATTTAGTTCTCTTATCATGAAGACTTAAAAGGATTTTATCTATAAAATCACAGTTGATTTAAAATGCAAATGTTTTGCTCAAACATTGATTAAATACCATCAGAGGGAGAAATGCTGGACTCGTCTTGCAGCTTTCCTTTTTAATGCTCTCCCACCAAGCAGGGAAATTGTACAATGCATTTTCAGACTGGATATAAATATTGTATCATGTGCGCTGGCTGCAGGTATTCGCACAGTGATCTTAACTGTATTGACCTAGTTAGAACTCTGCAGAAACGGCAGCAGAACTACAGGCTCCTTCAAGGCTTAGATTGTCTCATGGTTCCTCGGATATTAGCTGTTTTGCTTTTATTTGTTAAATCAGGCTCAAACAGTTCACACATTATTTGGGTTTCCAGTTAACGTCCATTCTAATTCTTTGTTGGAGGAGATAATTAGTCCTGTTTTCATATCAGTGTTCACACATTGTGCATCATTGATTTCCACCTATGGGGTTTGGAGCATTCCAGGCTGAACTTGAAACCCAGACTATCTGCGCTACCCATCATCCATAATAACTCAGACTGATGGAGAGCTTTATTTACAATTATGGCCATGGATTTGTTGACATTTAGTCATTATTTGATATAATAAATCATTCATTTGAGGCTTTGATGCAGCCGTAGTATCATTCGTATTACAACATACAGCTTTACTGACTTTTGAAAGTTCTGATACCAGAGCATTTTTGCTCTTTGTAAACGCAATGACGAAATCAGACGTTCAGTTTTTACAGCTGCCTCCAGCCTGTTTAAATACTTGATGATGCTGAAGTGGCCCGATGTATAAATGAGTTTGACACCCCTACAGGATGTGCTCCAATATCAGTCTCCAATCTGTTTTGCATAGAGTTGGTATGCAATTAACCCTCCAACACCTCCTTGCACTTACTGAATGAGTTCTCTTATGATTCCTTTTAGACATTAAAGATGTGCCTGTGAAATACAAAAGGGGAAACGTTTCTATTTTTTTTTTCTGCTATGGATTAGTAATTAAAATAAAATCACAGGTATGGAAAACTGTTTATTCCCCTCTCCTTGACCCATTTTTTGTGCTTTCTTGTTTCTTCCTTCCCCTCCTTGCTTCCTTTATACCTTTTGTCTCTTTTATTTCTTTCCTTCCTTTTATCTTTTTTTTTCTTTTTCATAATTAATCTCTTCCTTTGTTTTATTTCCTTGCCTATATTTTTCCTTCCTTTGTTGTGTTCTATCCTTTTCTCTTCTTCGTTGTTCCTTTCTTTCCTTTTTCATTTCCTTCCTCCCCTTTGCCCTGTGTCCTTTCCTTCCTGCTATCCTTTCTTGTGGATTTTTTTCTTCATTTTTCCTTACTTGTTTCCTTCTTTACTTCCTCTCTCCTTTCATTTTTTCCTTCCTTTTCCATTTCTTGTGTCCTTCCTTATTGTTATCGTGGTTTGAATTCCCTTTTTTTCCTCTCCCATGTCTCCTGCATCCTATCCTTCTTTTTTCCCCTTCTTTCATTCTCTCCTTTCTTTTTTTTCTTTTTTTTTTTTTTACATCATTTTGTTAATAATTTATTCATTCTTACCCCATAACAAAATTTAATTTGGATTAAACCAATGATCGGGACTCCTCTGCCATTGAGCAGCCTTTTCAGCTAGGAATGATGTTTAAAAAGGTGTTAAATTGTGAATACAAGTCTTCTAGAGTGGTAAACATGGCCGAATGTGCCAGTTTATCTATAATGACATCCTTTTCATTAAGATATTTTAATTACAAGAGTCTAACCCCAGGCTGCCTCTTGTGTGTGAAGGTGTTTGTGCTCTAGAGTGTGTTTAATTATAAACCAGTTGCTCCGAGGTGGTTAAACATATTTGCTGATCCTCTCTTGTCCAACTGCTTTGCTGTGAATCTGAAGGACTTTCCGTAACCGACGGTTAGGTGAGGAGGTCAGCTGGCTGTCTTCTTTAAATCTTCAGCCAGTGAAGGAGCTCACAAACCTCATCCCAGCCCTGAACGTCTCATCCTCTCATTTTAAATCCATCTGACTTTAAAACCTCTGCTCTTGGGCTTCTACACCAATAAATCCTGGCAGGGATTTAAACCCGGAGCCAGAGGGAGAACGGCAGCTGAGGGACCAGAGCCGACTCTCTGTGAGACTTCTGCCGATCACAGCCGCTAGCATGTCCTGAAAACAAGCTGTTTGAGCACAAAAAACACTTGGCTTGTTATTCGGCTAACTGCATTCATGTTCTTCTGACTGGCTGTTAGATCATTGCGATTTTTAGCTCTGATCCATGTGTCTGTCAACATCAGCGTCATTTAATTTGGAGTATCTCAGATGAGGATTAGAGCGCAGGAGGGAATCGTGACAATGTTGACCTGATTAAATGAGAGCTGTTATGCATTTCCTGAAAATCAGGTCTCTTTTTGCACCAAGGAGTGTCAGGTTTAGCATAATAAGTCCATATACAGGTGCTGGTCATAAAATTAGAATATCATGAAAAAGTAGATTGATTTCAGTAATTCCATTTAAAAAGTGAAACTTGTATATTATATTCATACATTACATACAAACTCATATATTTCAGATGTTTATTTTGTTTAATTTTGATGATTACAAATGACAACAAATGAAAATCTCAAATTCATCATATCAGAAAATTAGAATATTACTGAAGACCAATAAAAACAAAGGATTTATAGAAATGTTGGCCAACTGAAAAGTATGAACATGAAAAGTATGAGCATGTACAGCACTCAGTATTTAGTTGGGCCTCCTTTGGCCTGTATTACTGCAGCAATGCGGCGTGGCATGGAGTCGATCAGTCTGTGGCACTGCTCAGGTGTTATGATAGCCCAGGTTGCTCTAATAGTGGCTTTTAGCTCTTCTGAATTGTTGGGTCTGGTGTATTGCATCTTCTTCTTCACAATACCCCATAGATTTTCTATGGGGTTAAGGTCAGGAGAGTTTGCTGGCCAATTAAGAACAGGGATACCATGGTCCTTCAACCAGGTACTGGTAGCTTTGGCACTGTGTGCAGGTGCCAAGTCCTGTTGGAAAATGAAATCTGCATCTCCAAAAAGTTGGTCAGCTGCAGGAAGCATGAAGTGCTCTAAAACTTCCTGGTATGTGGCTGCGTTGACCCTGGACCTCAGAAAACACAATGGACCAACACCAGCAGATGACATGGCACCCCAAACCATCACTGACTGTGGAAACTTTACGCTGGACTTCAAGCAACGTGGATGAAGTGCCTCTCTTCTTTTCCTCCAGACTCTTGGACCTTGATTTCCAAAGGAAATGCAAAATTTACTTTCATCAGAGAACATGACTTTGGACCACTCACCAGCAGTCCAGTCCTGTTTCTCTTTAGACGCTTCTGACGCTGTCTGTGGTTCAAGAGTGGCTTGACACAAGGAATGCGACAGCAGAAACCCATGTCTTTCATACGTCTGTGTGTGGTGGTTCTTGAAGCACTCACTCCAGCTGCAGTCCACTCTTTGTGAATCTCCCCCACATTTTTGAATGGGTTTTGTTTCACAATCCTCTCCAGGGTGCGGTTATCTCTCTTGCTTGTACACTTTTTTCAACCACATCTTTTCCTTCCCTTCGCCTCTCTATTAATGTGCTTGGACACTGAGCTCTGTGAACAGCCAGCCTCTTTAGCGATGACCTTTTGTGTCTTGCCCTCCTTGTGCAAGGTGTCGATGGTCGTCTTTTGGACAACTGTCAAGTCAGCAGTCTTCCCCATGATTGTGTAGCCTATAGAACTAGACTGAAAGACCATTTAAAGGCTTTTGCAGGTGGTTTGAGTTAATTAGCTGATTAGAGTGTGGCACCAGGGGCCATCAATTTTGAACCTTTTCACAATATTCTAATTTTCTGATATGATGAATTTGAGATTTTCATTTGTTGTCATTTGTAATCATCAAAATTAAACAAAATAAACATCTGAAATATATGAGTTTGTATGTAATGTATGAATATAATATACAAGTTTCACTTTTTAAATGGAATTACTGAAATCAATCTACTTTTTCATGATATTCTAATTTTATGACCAGCACCTGTATGTTATATTGTATCTGTTTATAATAATAATCTTCTAATTCTATTTCACACATTCAATCTGTTTTTATGTTTTTTTTCCTGTGCAGATATCTCTCCTCAAACAGTCTCTGGAGCTCCAGTTGTCACAATCTCAGTCAGCTCTGCAGCAGCTGCAGTCTCAGTTCAACCAAGAGAGGGAGCTGCTGAGCCAACAGCTTAAAGGTGAAGAGTACAATCTAAAGGTTGCTGCTTAGTGAACATAATTTCATTAACTTAATGAGATTTTGAATATTTTTGAATATCTGAACTTATTTCTTTTATACAAAACATAGCTCTATAGAATTTCAGTCAAAAAGTGCAAATAATGCAGAATAAAGTCTCATTCTCTCATCAAACTTACCAGAACTTTAAACATAAAAAGTAATTAATGTGTTAAAATGTAAGAAAATAAGGCTTTACTTTGAGTTTAAAACAGGGTTTTGCAGAGTCTTTATTTCCCAAAAAATGTTTGGTGTTTTAGCCAGAAAAAACTTTTTTTGTGACTTTGTGATGGAAATACCATCTGAAAAATGGTGTCATTCATTTTAACCATCAGAGAACCACATTTTTTGCTTGTTTACAAAATAGCTCACACTCAACACGATCAGATAGAGAACTTTGTTGAAGTTTTCTTTTTTTTTTTAGCTCATTTTCCATCTAATTTAGCTCTGAACTTTGACTATTCCACTTTAGCACATAATCCTACATCTCAACCAGGTCTGCAACTTTTACTTTCTAAAGTACCATTTTACAGCAGCAAACATTTCATGACGTTTTTATAAGAAAAAGATCAATTAAATTTGACATATATCCACCACAGTTACTGATACATTTGGAAAGTCATGTACAAAAAGCATTTTTACTGCTCATAAAAGATATAATAAATCTCTATCACTATAAATCTAATACATCTCTATCAGAACCGTAAACATTACACAACCCTTTAAAGAAAGAGATAACTTATATTTGACACATATACACACCAGTGTGTTGATATTTCTAGAGAATTGCATTTAAAAAAGCAATTATATTTCAAATAGATTTGAAAAAAATCATATTGACTATAATTAGTCAATGTATTTTGGAAAATTCCAATCAATTAGTCAGTGGAGGAAATGTATTAGCATATCTATGTTCAAAGCTATTGGTTCATAATTTTTAGCCCAAGTTAGGGGAGGCATTGTTGACCATCTAAAGAGCCAGAGATTTCAGACCCTGGCTCTAAACTATCCCACTTTTGTTGTTGAAGAACTTGAGCAGGACATTTTCCTGCTAAAAGGTTAACCTCCACAGCAGTCTGAAGTGTTTTCCACGTGTTTTCCTTTGGGTTTATATAGAGATAAATCGGTGATGGCTCACATTGTCTATGAATAATATTTCAACTGAAAAAAGAAACTGTGATGCTGAAAAACTCAAGAAGTTCTCTCACTTTATGCTGCAGCTTTTTCAATTTATGAAAGTTTTCAAAGTTCTTGCAGAGGTCTTACAGATGCGATGACAATAAAAGCTATCATGATTTGATGTCGGGGTTGAATGCCACTGCAGATTTATTGTGTTTTTTTGTTTTTCTTTTTGTAGGAGGTATCAAAAAGTTTGTGTTTTTTGTTTTGGCTTCATATTTGATTTACTTGATTTTTTTGCTTTAAAAATCTTTCTATAAGTTTTTCAGAAGAGTTCATCCTTCTTCTGTGTGACTGCAGCAGACTAAAGCTCTGCCTTACTTGTTGATGGAAAATGAAACTTCTCTGCCTCTGATGTGACTCACCGTGCCTTGTTGTCTGTTTGCAGAGATGCAGAGAGAACATCAGAGGAGGGAGCATCGGTTACAGGAAGCTCACTGCTGTGCCCTCAGCACCATGGAGGAGGCCAGACAGCACCAGATCAGAGTATGACACGCTCAAACACTCACTGATATATCTGCAGGCCGAACTTGTTATAAATAAGCTCATGGATCCCTTGATAACAGCTGCTGCACCTTTTCTATCTGTAATCAGCAAAGATCAGAATGCGAACTCCTGTCATGGGAGTAAAAAGCAGATTAGCTGGCACACAACTTGATTTGTTGCCTTGAGAGGCCTCTGGTGAATGGCATCACCCTAAAGTCATTTTCTTCTGAGAGGAAATTAAAACCTCCTCCAGTGTGGAGAATGTTATAGTTGCTGTTGCTTTTGCATCATGGTTGTGTTTATGCTTGGAGGAGTTTTAGGCAACAGTTTCAGTGAAGAGATGCTGTGCAAACAGCTGCAGCCTGATTAAGGAAGACAGTTTCCCATGTTTTAGCATTTTTCTAATTAAACAAAGATAAATATACATGTTGCCTATAGACACGGAACATCTATGCAGAACAGACCATAATTATTGGCACCAACAAGTAGAGAATAACCAATAGGAAAGTTATAGAAGAAGAATAAAGCAAGATTTTTTTCCCAAGTTTAACTTAAAATCTTCAGCTTTTAAAAACTGCTGTAGAACTACAGCAACTACTGCAATTTTTGGCTACGTAACAATCATCAGAATCTATCTAGTTAGTTCTAGTAAGGAGGGATATAAGGAAAAAAATGCACAATGATGCAATTACTTCACTATTTATAATTTGTTCTGATTTAATTAGATTCATTCTTAGTCATATTTATTTAAGTGACATTTAATTATTATATTTATATTTTTAAATTTTTATATTCATTTAATGGGACATTTTATTGTTTAATAGTGCTTTGTATGCTTTAATGTTTAAGATAAATAGATAATGATAACATCTGCTAATTTCATTGGATGTTTATTTATTTTTTGGAATATTCAGATTTATACACTCACCGGCCACTTTATTAGGTACACCTGTCCAACTGCTCGTTAACACTTAATTTCTAAGCAGCCAATCACATGGCGGCAACTCAGTGCATTTAGGCATGTAGACATGGTCAAGACTATCTCCTGGAGTTCAAACCGAGCATCAATATGGGGAAGAAAGGTGATTTGAGTGACTTTGAACGTGGCATGATTGTTGGTGCCAGAAGGGCTGGTCTGAGTATTTCAGAAACTGCTGATCTACTGGGATTTTCACGCACAACCATCTCTAGGGTTTACAGAGAATGGTCCGAAAAAGAAAAAACATCCAGTGAGCGGCAGTTCTGTGGGCAGAAATGCCTTGTTGATGCCAGAGGTCAGAGGAGAATGGCCAGACTGGTTCGAGCTTATAGAAGGGCAACAGTGACTCAAATAACCACCCGTTACAACCAAGGTGGGCAGGAGAGCATCTCTGAACGCACAGTACGTCGAACTTTGAGGCAGATGGGCTACAGCAGCAGAAGACCACACCGGGTGCCACTCCTTTCAGCTAAGAACAGGAAACTGAGGCTACAATTTGCACAAGCTCATCGAAATTGGACAATAGAAGATTGGAAAAACGTTGCCTGGTCTGATGAGTCTCGATTACTGCTGCGACATTCGGATGGTAGGGTCAGAATTTGGCGTCTACAACATGAAAGCATGGATCCATCCTGCCTTGTATCAACGGTTCAGGCTGGTGGTGGTGGTGTCATGGTGTGGGGAATATTTTCTTGGCACTCTTTGGGCCCCTTGGTACCAATTGAGCATTGTTGCAACGCCACAGCCTACCTGAGTATTGTTGCTGACCATGTCCATCCCTTTATGACCACAATGTACCCAACTTCTGATGGCTACTTTCAGCAGGATAATGCACCATGTCATAAAGCTGGAATCATCTCAGACTGGTTTCTTGAACATGACAATGAGTTCACTGTACTCAAATGGCCTCCACAGTCACCAGATCTCAATCCAATAGAGCATCTTTGGGATGTGGTGGAACGGGAGATTCGCATCATGGATGTGCAGCCGACAAATCTGCGGCAACTGTGTGATGCCATCATGTCAATATGGACCAAACTCCCTGAGGAATGCTTCCAGCACCTTGTTGAATCTATGCCACGAAGAATTGAGGCAGTTCTGAAGGTAAAAGGGGGTCCAACCCGTTACTAGCATGGGGTACCTAATAAAGTGGCCGGTGAGTGTATGTTTCATGATATATTTTGGCCCTAAATATATCTCTAGGATCACATTATTACGATTGTGAAAACCAACTCATCACCCCTGACTTGGTGTCTTGTGACCCTCCAGGGGGTCCCGACCCCCCCAGTCTGAGAAATCCTGCTTTAAGTGGAGGTTGGTACAAAAATTGCAAAGAGTGAACTAACAGACGAGTTTGAAGTGGTTTGAGGTTTATTGTCTGGTTTATAGGACAGTCATGTGTTTACATTCCAGGCACAAACTGAATATTTTTTACTTCTTTTAATGAAAATCATAAAGAACACAAGGGAATGATTGGCCAGACGTCTGTTTGGTGCTTTAGTTATTCCTTGTAGAGATTACAGAATAAAAAAGCTTATTTATGCAAATTAGACTATAAAGTGGATCTAATTTGAGCAGTGAAAGAGGTTCCTATCCTCATCTGTAAGCCGAGACAAATTTTATAGTATTGGCATTCCCAAATCAATTTTAAATTCTTGTAATAATTCCCATTGCTGTTAGTTGCTTTTAACATAGGATCCTCATGTGAATGCAGCTTCTTCTCTGTGTCTGATTTACAAAAAGGGAATCTAAGCTCTGTTTTCCTTTCTCACTCTGACCTTGGCGTTTGTCCTCCCTAAACTCCCTCCCTCTGCCTTCTGTTAGGCCCTGGAGGAGCGTCTTAAGCAGGAGCACAGGGAGGAGGTTCATGCTCTGAAGGAGGCCCACAGGAGGACCTTGGAAATCCTCAGGCAGCAGTCAGAGCAGGAGCTGCAGACTCTAAGATTTGAACTGGAGGACGAGGGCAAAGCAAAGCTGGGTAAATGATGAAGTATTTTTGGCTTTGACACGTTGTTTTTTAAAACCACGATTTGAACATGTGTTTTCAGGATTTTTTTAATTGACTGAAATGTTTAACTGGAATGGTTTCTGTTTGTGTTTAGTGGATATCATCTGTGATCTTTTTGACTTTTTACCAGCTCTGTGCTTAAATATGATCAAAGAATCCGATTTATTTTCTCCTCCACACTTATTGCTGAAGGAGAGCACAGACTGCTATGAACTGACTGCATAAGTTTAATGCTTTGGGAAGCTACTTAAGAATAGTGGGAGGGAAAAGCCCCTTTTTGGGTGCAGAATGTCAAAATAGAGCTTTAATAACACATCTGTCTAAAAATAATGTATTGAAAATGATTACTTTTGCTTTAACACCTTATTAATTTCTAACCAGTATTAGCTGTAGAGCTAAGTTACATTTCAGTTTCATACCTAACAGTATTATATTTTTCTAGTTCTATTTCCCCACGTCCTCCATGCCTATTTAGGAATCCTATGTAGAGTCACAGTGATTGTAGTGGCCAAAATCCTACTGGTTGCTATTCCTGCAGGTGTTGGTTTTACGTGCGCTCAATTAAGACTATATCATGCCGATCTTTCTTTTGACTTATAATGAAGTCATTTATTAACATAACAATGTCCATAGTTTTACCAATTGCCTTACATAAATACATAAATTCGACATAGTCTAAACCAAACACAGTAGAAAACTGTTGCCCCCTCTCATTAACAACACCTGAACAGAATCATGGTTGACCTTAAATAACCCCATCAGCCCATCAAACAATCAGAACTCAAAATGAAATACGCCCCCTGGGGGCGATAACAGAGTGATAATATACTTTTTAGGTGATCCTGATTTCCTTTAAGGGCAATAATACAGTAATGTATAAGAACGGTTCCAAGGGTTCCAAAAAAGAACACCTCCATCAGGTTCCCCAAGAGTGAAAGCTTGACAAGAGAAATCAGACGAACTCTGCTAAACTCTAAGCCTTCCTGTTATCTGCTAAAAGTCTTGCTCTCTCTTGTTCCCATAAACCCTAAATGTCTTGACATTTTAAAAACAGTTTACTTTTGCCTTTTGTCATCTCTGAATATATTTCAAATGTTTTCAAAGATACAGAAAAATTTAAAATGATCCTTTTTTATTTGTGTTTTTGAGCACTAGAAATTATATGTTACTACATAGGAGGAAATTTGGATTTATTGGACATTCTGTTATTCGGGTCACATGTATTTTTTTTCTTATTGCACTCTTGATTAAAGTTCGAGTGTTGGGATCAAAGGTGTGAGATTCACATTGTTCAAGATTTAAAAGGCTTAAATTTGCACAAAGTCCCATGGAAAATGAACCTTTCCCGGCAATTGATGTGTTGCTCTAAAGGTGAATAGTTTGTGTTGTGGTTTGATTGTTTGTGTCTTATTTTCATATCAGCAGGGAGTAAATATTAAAAGATTTTTAATCTGCAAGCTTTGCTTTTTCTTGTTCCTTAAGTATAGCCAAAATCTTATTAAATTTGGTTTATATTATATAGCAATTAATAGATTTTAAAAACACTGAAATCTTTGTCTTTGATGCTTTGGTCTGGCAGCGTCTCTCCGAGCAGAACTGAACCACCTCCATGCTACGGCCGTTGAACATCTGAAGCAGCTCCACCTCAAAGAAAACAGTGCAGCTAAAAGAGAACTGGAGAAAGCAATGGAACACAGCCACCAGCAGGTAACTATAATCTGCAAAGGTCCCTGTTAAAACCTCCACACTTTGTCTGGTGTTTTTTCTGAAAATCATTGATGGTGAAATAATCGGGGATCGGTTTCCTTGTATTGAGGTGATCAAGCCGTTGTTTTATTTTCTACAGGAACAGGAACTCCTGGTTCGCATCTCTGACCTTCAGGGAGAGTTGTGTTCCCGTAGCAACCGCATCACCGATTTGGACCACGAAATCCACTCTCTTAACGAGACTATCGACACTTTGACCAGAGAGCTGGAGTTGAAGGGCAAAGAGGTGCTCAGAGTTCGCAGTGAAGCCAACCATCAGATAAGGTAAAAAAATTGTGGAAGTTTCCATCAAGTAGTCTATTTTAGGTCGCACTTGAGGTATTAAGTACATCACATTAGCTGAGAAGTGACTGACCCAGTTTTTAAAATAGTAATCTGAACGCAGCTCATAAGGGAATAACTGGAGAACTTGTGATTAAACAAAGGATCAGGAAAAGCGTTCATGCTTTGAAATTGCAGGTGTTAATTACAACAAAGTTGAGGAGCCATGAAACCTGCGAACAGACAAACAGGGATCTTTATGTGCAATCTTCTCATTCTCATGATGAATTATTTGGTTTTGAACCATCGCTCTTCAATAAGTCAGAGTTTAAATTGTCCCTTGTTTTGGGTTCACTGTTTTTTGAAAGTTTTTTGAATATGGAAAAGGAAATAAACCAGAAATCAAAGCAGCCTTTTAAAGGAGCAATAAGCTAAATTTCTCCTTGGTTGGCTGTCGCCCACTGTCTGTAAACCAAAGCTAGATGTTTGACAAGCAACGCCCTCTTCACCCGTTGTCTTATGGGCTTATTTGCAATGGATACATACGCAGCAGGGAGAAGCTAAGCCCTGATTGGCTGGTATTCACATGGACCTACATGCACACACATAAACAAAAGACTGGATAACAACACAGGAGGGTAAAGGATGATGTGTGACATCTATATACTATATTCAATCCAAAATGATCCCCTTTGTTTTTTTCCATCACTATTTTTTAATTCTTCCTATCTAAAATAATAATAATTATATATCGCTCCTTCAAGTACCTCCATTCTATTATTTTGAGCCCTCTGTAAATGTTCATCCTGGTTGACAACAAAGAAACACGCATTTGCCTTTTTTCAACTTGTCACCTATTTACTATTTTATCCAGCTTAAAAACAACTCTCCTACCTGCCATCAATTACAGTTAATCTGCTCTGCTCTAAATAAAGTGTTAGAAGTCCTCTTAGGATTTTCCTTGAAATTTGTTAACATGCAACATCAATATAAAGTAAATTGGATGGTGTTGTAAAAAAGGAATATTTTGGAAGTTGGATTAAAAGAAATATTTGCATAAATTCTAAAGATCTTAGTGGAACACCTCTAGTCTAGGGTTGGATGATGCATCATTGTCTGACAAAGATCAGATCTAAAGTTTGACTCCAAAACAGCAGTAAACACAGTGACACATGGTGGTGGCAGTGTCATGCTCTGGGATAGTTTTTGATCAGATAAAACTGAAATTTTTTATGAAAGTGGACATCATCAGCTCTAAATAGCAGTCACTTTGGACCCAAAAACTTCAGGTATCTGCTGAAAAGTAGAAAAGGTCCTGATGATATATTTCCTTTGCAAACTTAGGGCTACTTATTTTATTTTATAGCACTTTATAAGATTATCATGAATTTAGCTCAATAAAAAACCTCTGGTTAGGATGGGCAGTATGGATGGACATAAGCACTCAATTTATTTCAAAAATCAGACTGAAACTTTAAAAGAATATTGGAATAAGTGCTAAAAGGATATGTTGGATAAATATCACCCCTTCTTCTATCTTAAAGATCTTTTTATTAGCCTGTCCTCTGAAGAAGGAGGCTAAATATACAAACTGCATGCAAACTTAACCACCCTTCAGTCATTCTGCCATATGTGATTGCAATGTTTTACTTAAATCAGAGACAGGCGAATTAATACCCTGACACGGTCGCCATGGTTACCAGCTCTTTAAGCTCCGAGGGACTCGATTCGCTTCAGCTCTTACAACACACTACAATCCAGCCAAATTCAGTTTGCAGCTGCACATCTGTTGTCGTCCAGTAACATTGAATAAAGCGCAGTAATGATTCCCCTGCTGTAATTTAGCTAAATTCGATTGACAAAAGTACCATCATGGTGCATAAGTCCCTATTATGATGTATAAGCTGGCATTTTTATGCACAGCTTGAGCATATCTGCACTTTATCTCTGGGGTAATGCTGAATTGTATCTCTGTGCCACAGAGCTCATGAACAGGATCTGGTAAAGAGGCATGAGAGGGATCTGGATGAGATAAAGGTTGTTCATCACAGAGAGGTGCAGATTATGCTGGCTGACTTCAACAAAGCTCAGGAGGTGCTCAAAGACAAGATCTCTGCTCTGCAAATCCTGTAAGTCGAAATAACTATTCATCCTGGTGGTAACTTATCTTTTCACAATTAGTTTGTTTTTATTTTGAAGCGTATTTTGTGACATTTGTTATATCCCTGTATTTTTTGTATCCCTTTGCCATCTCCTTTGTTTGCAGGTTGGAGGGCACAGAGGAGAAGCTGAGAAACAGAGAGAGTCGACCAGAAGATCTGCATCTCATAGCGGAGCTCAGAGAGATGGTCACTGAAAGAGAAGCTCTGGTCAAAAAACTGGTTGTGAGTAAATCCTGCTGCTCCAACTCAGTCTGGATTGCTCTGAATTTGCTTTGATAGTTTTTAGGTGTGGATGAATAACAAAAAAAGGACACTTTTGTTTAAATCTCTGAAGTGAGCAAAGTCTATTTTTTTTTTTTTTTGAAGAGTTTTAAAAAGAGACACAAATTTCCAGAGAGCTTACAAATTGAAAAACTAGTTTGCCAACGGAGAGACTGTATTTGGTGGGTATGGAGAAATTTATTGACATAATCTTTACTTAAGTGAAGTTGAACCATATTTCCTGGTAAGGAGCTATTTGCAGTGAAAGTGCATTCTTTGTTTCTCTGTCAAAATAAAGCTGTTATACATCCATTTAACATGTTTGGGGAAGGAAATTATCAAATCAATGTTGAATTCTTGAGCAGAGCTAAAACCCCACATTGTTATCCATATTTGGTAATGCCTCCCTCCTTTTGTCTCCTTAAAGCGATGTTTTCTATCCACTATTGGGATTTACTTTGTTTCATTAGGCCAATATTTATACATTTGGGTGTTTTGCTATAAAATGAAAAATTTTCAATTATTCATTAAAACATTTTGATTGAATTAAACATGCAGCCAAATCCACTTTATTATATAGCACATTTGATAAACAAATGTTTTCAAAGTGCTGCACTGTAATATAGACATATGTATTACAATGTAATAGATAATTAAAAAACACTGGAAAAAAAAAATAGGTAGGCACAAAAAAGTCAAAATGCACAAGTTAAAGCTGACCCTCTGACCTCCGGGTGCACCCTGGTGTTTACTGTAGATTAGAAAATAAAAAAATCAAATGTTAAAATCAATCCTAAAGCAAACAGGCAGCAGCCAATTGAGAGATGCTAAAATGGGAGTAAAGTGCTTATGCTTTTTTCCAGTTGCTTTGTTCCAGTTAAAAGATGCGTTGTGGTGTTCTGGATTAACTTCAAGCACGAAACTTTTTTGTAACGTATACCCACATAAAATGCATTGCGGTAGTCCAGATGGGTCAGAATGAAACCATGCATTAGTTGCTCCAACATATTAAAATACCAAAAAGGTTTCCCTTCAGCTTAAAAGGCGAAGGTGATAAAAGCTGGACTTAACAACTGCATCAACTCGAAATCTAACTGATAGACCATAATGACACCAAGGTTGGTGGCTGTAGAACAAAGATGTTGCATAAGGGGGCTCTCTTTTAGCAGGGATCCATGGGGCCAAATACCATCACTTCCATTTTATTCTCATTTAGATTAAAAAAATGATTAGGCAGCCATGCTTTGATTTCACTTAGGCAGTGCAGTAGACGTGTCAGTCGGGTTCTGCTATTTTTCTTCAGTTGCAGATAAATCTGGCAGTCATCAGCATAAAAATTTTAGTTTTTTTTTTCTTTTTATCTGGCTGCATGGGAGGATGTACAGTAAAGCGCAAACAAGACCAGCGCTAGAATTGAGCCCTGAGGGACCCAAAAATTAATATGTCAACAGATGAGGTGGACAGAGTAACATCTCCCAGACAAGTAGGATCTGAACCATTTCAGGGCACCCACATAGGTTCCTCGTCATGACTGAATCAAAGATATAATAAATGTTATTAAAATTTGCATAAAAAATCTGGAATAATAAGTCTCTATTTATTAAAAATGATAAAATAAAATGTAGGTACAGGCAGAAGAGCTTAGCAAATGGTTCTTTCAGTGGCCGTGCCAAAATCCCTCCTTGCAATCCTTTTAAGGGATTGCACTAATTGAAGTTCATAGGATGTATTTTCATTTTAACCTGTTTTTATAGGATGACAAGAAGTTCTACCAGCTGGAGTTGGTGAATAGAGAGACGGGCTTCAGCAAGGTCTTCAATTCCAGTGCTAACATTGGTGTCATCAACCCTCTTATCAAGGTGGGTGACCTCTATACCTTCCCTCATAGGATGTCAGCTAATTTCAGTAAATTCTCATCATAATTAGGAAAACTATGATAAAGCTCTTAACCATCAGCTACTGTTGCACGTAAGAACATGGAACCAAAGTATGAAATAAGTCTGCAGTGATATTGGACATTTTTTTAATAATAGAGTTTATGGTGGAAATATTAATGGTTCTTCACGTAGATTCGTTGTCAACTACGCTCAACATTTAAGGACATCATTCTTTTAACATCACATTTATAAACTCTTTATTAAGGTTGGTTGCATTGATATACTGAATTGTATCATGTAAAAAACATCTAAATCTACACACCACCTAAAAAGTGTAGGTTTTCTGTGATGCAATAAATTGAAATCATAATAAATAAATCCTAAAATGCTTCTTTTTACAAACCTGAGTTTTATCCTGTACAGTAGAAATTGGTTAAACTTAAATAATTACATGAATCCCATAGATTTTACTAAAACTATAAACCTTACATGTGTACTCAGCTTATATTTAGAGGGAAAAGCTTCAAACATCTTACAACTTATTGTAGTATGACTCATTAAGGGGAGGGGGAATAAAAACAATGCTAAATAAATCTTATTAAATCCAAACGATTATCTTAAAAAAGTGACTCTCTTCAAAGCTACATAATAATAAGATATACATAGATATTGTAATAGGCAGCACTTATAATTTAAATACAAACCTGGACATGTTAGTGTTTTTATCTTGCAAGTTTTAACCCATTTGACATCACTGATTTCTTCTTTTTTGGTCCTGTTTTTTCCTGCAATAAACCTTAAACAGTGTCAAAGTCTTAAGTTATTTTTTCATGAGAATTTAGTTCAGCATTCAGTTTGTTGGTTGCATGCATTTAATATTTGCCACATCTCTTAAAAAAAATCTAAACTTACTTTTTTAAGCTGCTTAATTGACAATAAGATGCAATGTTTGACCAAGCTAGAGACCAGCACGGCAAGGCGTCTTTGCAAAGTTCTTCTACATGCTGCTGAAGCCCATGATTCTTTCTTCAAACTCCATTCGTCTAGTGCTAAATGACACTAAACGAGCCATTTTCACGGCTGCAGCCCACAAAGTCATCTCTGCAGCTCAGTCAGCATCTTTCTCACAAGTGTGGCACCATTTAAAAGGAAATTGACAGGTTTTTCAATAGTTTTAGTTTTTTTCCCCCAAGAAACAATCTTAGGGAAAATATCAGTTGAATGTAAATTTCTGTGCTTTGTCTACTAAGATTATTTAGCAGCCCCTAAGGAACGCTTCCGTCATACACAACCAACGCTGTCACAGTGAATCTTAGCATAATTACCCTCCATTGATCTGCACAGAATAAGGAAAGCTAGAATAATAATCTACATTGATTATGCTTCTGAAATATATTGGAATTGATCTGCATAAAACTGGAGATAGCCTGAACATTATTCTCCTACGGTGTCAGAAAAGTGGAAGATTAATTTCTTGATTTGGTCTTCACTGGGAAGAACAAATTGATTTTGTTTTGCTTCAAATCCAGCAGCCTTTGCAACACATTCTCACATCAAGTCTGTCATGTGCTCCCATATCTGCTTACCAAGCTGCTCATCATACCTTTGTGTGTTTGCACACAGCTGTCATAGCCCATGCCATTCAGAAACATTAATGCCCTGATTCGGAGTTACAGCATCACCACCTCATCTTCTCATATTCTATCCTACTCACTCTGTGGGCTGTTTTTATTAGATGACATATGGATTCTCTTTTTTTTCAACTACACTCAGCAGCTTCATGTGGAGAATTAAGCTACGTTCCCACTGCAGGTCTTAATGTTCAAATCCTATTTATTTTAGGACTTAGGGTGTGTGTGTGTGTGTGTGTGTGTGTGTGTGTGGGTGGGTGTATCTTTTTCCAATTTCACCATCAAATTGAGTACCAGTTGTTGCACAATGAGGACATTTTGCCGGTCCTCACATGCTATTTTGCTAATGGTTAGGTTTAGGGCTAAGTTGTCAATTGGATTAGGGTGAGGTATGCATTAGTAATAGTTCAGTTTAGGGTTAGTTTTAGGGTTAGGGCAAAGAAAGGGTTGAAAATGACTGAAAATCAATGGAAGTCAATGGGAGTCAACCCATGGTCCTCACCACGACAGCAGAACAAGTATGTGTGAGCGTGTGTGTATGTGTGGTCGTTTGTATCATCTTTGAAATGTTGCCTACAGTTAGTTGCCAAAGTAGTTACCTACTTCGATGTTAACCTCTTGGCAGACATGGGCAATGTGGAGTCAACAAGTCATCTCCATGTCATGTATTTAATCTACCCAGCCAATTAACCAGGTGAGTCCAATCTGCACAGGCTGATTCACAGTGAAGATTGGACTCACCTGCTTCAGTGGCTGGGTAGAACAAATACATGACATGGAGATGACTTGTTGACTCCACATTGCCCAATTCTGCCTCTTGGCCTCCATGGGTAAAGTAAAACAGTAAGAGCACTGCCACACACAACAATAAACACAGAGAAATAGTTTAATGTTTTTAATATAAAACAGAAGCCATGTATTGTGTCAGTGTCATGATGGGTTCACTAAAGGAGACCCAGTTATGCAGAACACCACTGACGGACACAAGGATGAAAAGTTGAACAGTTTATTTAAGCACAAAACACACAGAATGTACTGATTCTGGTTCTGGTCTGGGTTCTGGTTCACCGGAGTCTGCGTGAGAGACAGCACAGTTAGTGGCTGCTGACAGGATTTGATTTCCACAGGTTTACTGCTTGTACCTTGAGGGTTCCTGAGGTTTACTTTGGGAGAGTGACTGTTGGTTCTGGAGAAGGGTTTGTCAGCAGAGTCCGTTTGCTGCTTCAGCGTCTCGCGTCTTAGCTTGAACAGACCTTGGCTTGATTTCCCAGCTCTAGTCCTGAGCTGCTTGGGGGTTCTCTGAGAGTCTTCAGGGTTTGGCTCAGAGGGTCGGCTCGGCAGGTTAGCTCTTCCTGAGCTTTCACAGAGGAGGCACAGGTTTCCTGGAAAACAGAGACAGTAGTTAGAATCCAGACTGGATTCAAAGTCATGGAGATACTCTGAGAATCAAGGCTTTAGCGCTGACCAACTGGAACAACACTGCGGCGTTGAGGCAAGGTCTGAAGACAGCTTATGTAGTGGATCCTCTGATGATCTTAACGAGCTGCAGCTGTGCAGGAGGCTCCCTCAGAGGATCCACGGCGGACTCTGCTGGAGAAAGATGGGATTCTCTCCAGCTCCCAACAGTACCCCCCCTCATTGGTTGATGGGCAGGAACGCTCGTATTCCTCGATGAGTGCCGGGTCGAGGATGTACGAGCCTGGGACCCACTGGCGATCCTCCGGTCCGTAGCCCTCCCAGTCGACGAGGTACTGCCATCCGCGACCTCGTCGACGGGAGTCTACGATGCGGCGCACCGTGAAGGCCGGATGGCCATCGACCTCCAGGGCGGGTGGTGGGGAGTCAGACGGAGGGCACAGAGGGCTCGAAGAGACGGGCTTGATCTGGGAAACGTGGAATGTAGGGTGGATTCGGAGGGACTGAGGTAACTGGAGACGAACAGCTGAGGGATTGATGACTCGAGAGATTCTATATGGTCCGATGAATCTCGGGGAGAGTTTTCGAGACATCCCCTTGAGGGGGATGTCACGAGTGGAGAGCCACACCTCCTGGCCCTCAGAGTACTCGGGGGCGGGACGTCTCTTGGCGTCGGCGAAGCGTTTTGCAGATGCAGATGACTGATTGAGTGTGGCGATGGTTTCCCTCCAAATCCTCTGGCAGCGACGGATGTGATGATTAACGGATAGCACCGATATCTCTCTCTCATCTGCAGGGAAAAGAGGTGGCTGATATCCGAGACTGACCTGGAATGGGGACTGTCCAGTGGATGCAGAACGGAGGGAATTGTGGGCATATTCAATCCACGGGAGGAATTGGCTCCAGTCCACGGGGTTACTTGAAGTGAGGCAACGGAGGGTGGATTCCAGCTGTTGGTTCATTCGCTCGGTCTGACCATTCGATTGGGGGTGGTAACCTGAGGTGAGAGAAGGTTTGCAGCCGAGCGCGGAGCAGAAAGCTTTCCATACCTGGGAGATGAATTGAGGGCCTCTGTCCGAGAGGATCTCCTGGGGGATGCCGTGAAGCCGGAAAACATGCTTAATGAGGAGTTGAGCGGTCTGGAAGGCTGTAGGAAGCTTTCTGAGGGGAACAAGGTGGCAGGACTTCGAAAAAACGATCAACTATGGTGAGTATAGTGGACATACCTCGGGAGATTGGGAGACCGGTGACAAAATCTATGACTATATGGGACCATGGACGCGAGGGAACAGGTAGAGGTTGAAGCAGGCCTGAAGGAGGTTGGTGTGAGGCTTTGTTGCGAGCGCATGTGGGGCAGGCCAACACATACTCCTTAACGTCCTTATGAAGAGAGGGCCACCAGAAGCGCCTGGAAATGAGAGCAACTGTCCTACTCACTCCAGGATGAGCGGTGAATTTGGCGGCATGCATCCACTGGATAAGACGGGACCTGACGGAAGATGGGACATATGTACGATTAGGCGGACCGGTACCTGGGTCTGGTTCAGTGGCTAGGGCAGAATTGATTAGATCCGTTATCTCCCAGTTGACCACTCCAATGGTGCATGATGCTGGGAGGACAGGTTCGGGAGTCTCAGGATGATCGACGGAGTAGAGACGAGAGAGAGAATCGGGCTTCACGTTCTTGGATCCGGGCCTGTATGAAATGATGAGATTGAAGCGAGAGAAGAATATTGACCACCTGGACTGGCGAGGATTTGCCTGTTTGGTTGACTGGATGTAAGCGAGGTTCTTGTGGTCTGTCCACACGAGAACCGGATGCTCAGCTCCCTCCAGCCAATGCCTCCATTCCTCCAATGCCAGCTTAATAGCCAAGAGTTCTCGGTCACCCACGTCATAGTTCTGTTCGGCTGGAGATAGCCTACGGGAGAAGAA